CCCCAAAACCCCAAAACCCCATACCTTCTGAAATTTGAAAATCAAAGTATAATTTATAATAAAAATGAACAAGTAAATTTAACTTCGAATTTCGAACTGGATATAATTAAATTATTATTATTCGATCTTCAAAAATAAAATGAGCACTAAACAATTATCAACATTTGCTAGGCAAATAGTAGACAAGAAAAACTCTGCAGACATCATTGAATAATGAAGTAAGAAACCACTAAAAGTATTCCTAACATTTTTATTATAGAAAACTCAATTTTAACTTAGACCCCTAGAAACAATGAACGACAAATCGATAAATAATTGGATGGAGTTGAATAAAAACGAGATAGTGACGATGATTCAACTTCGAACGATGATGCTACTGATGATGATGAAGTTTTAGATGAGTAAAAGATGGTATGAAAATTTAAATTTCATTGCAATATAGTTTGATTCCAACATGAAGTATGAAGTACTTAGATAAAGTAACGTTTAAAAGTTATGAATTAAATTTTAGATAGAAGTTATGAATAAATTCGAGAAAGGATTAAAACTGACTATAAATCTGTCTTGTATTTTCATAATCCATTTACTTGTTTATCTAGAGAGCATTTGAAATTCGAAGATTTGGCAAGATAAATTCCAGAACTTACAAGTAGTGGAGAGGTATTGCATCTTCTTATTGTTAAAATAAACAATCGAATGAAAAACAAAGTCATTAATGCCATCGATGAAAAGCTTGGAGAAATAGCTTCAATTAAAAGAAATAAAGAATTCACTTGATACAGTATGGGTAGTGATACCTCTCGATTATAATAGCTCACTTATGATACTGTAAATATTTAAAATCTTGGTGGTAATAGTTATCATAATAGAATATTGATGAAAAAGTTAATTTCAATGAATAAGATTTCAATACTCTAAAGAGTTTAATGAGCAGAAGAAACAAGCCTTTAAAATTTCCTCTGGGTCACTTTGTGAGATATTTGTATAAGGGTAAATTTAGAGACCAAGTGGAAGAAGAGGAAAAAGAGAAACAAGAGGAAGATCTGAAAAACGTATATATTGAAAAGAGATTCTACAACGTTGTCGAGATTGGCTTCATATTTTGGTTTTTAATATTCAGAAAAGATTTCACTCTTGCCAAGTAATTCATTAACATTTAAATTCTATGTCTTAACTTTTAATAGGCTGCTAGCTGAAAATGAGAGATAATATATCGAGCCTTTCTTAGATAAAATGGCAAAGATAATTGGAGTGAAGAAGATTAAGCTCTTACTAAACAAATCTCTAAGTAAAATGGTGAGTTATCCTTAAGGTCTTAAGTGGGGATTACTGGAAGCTATCAAATATAAAATGGACCAATTCGCTACTGAGTAATTAGAAGTATATGAATTCTTAAAAAGCGATAAAGAATTTATGCTAGAAATGAAGTAAGTTCATTAGTATTAAGCAATAATTTAATCCTTAATATAGAGAACTCTCAGCTAAATTCAAATGTATAAGAATGCTTTAACTTATGTACAAGGATTTCTTTAGTCCAAGCTATTAGCTCAATTTTTATGAAGAAATAACTACTAAGTTATCATCAGGAGATACAAAAAAATATGTAAAGAAAGATGATGCAGAAGTTAAAGAGGATAATATTTAGATTCTGGAAGTATTTCATTAGAAAATTAAGAAGTATGAGATTAAGATAAAGAACGAACATCAAAAGTATAAAAGCTATGAAAGTAATAGAGAAATAAACATGACTACTTCATCAGGAGAGGAGGATTATTAAGAAAAAGAACTATAAAAAATTAGAAAAAACATCGAAGATTATCAAAATGAAAGGGACTAGTTGGAGCAAGAAATGAAGTATATCATCAGCACACCCTACTATCTTGAAAATGTAAATCTCACAAGTGAGCTCATCAAATACCAAGCCTACTACGTTATTCCACATTTATTCAGAGAAAGAATCAAAGTTAGAGAATGCATTGAGGATCATTAGATATTTATTGATGATTTCAAAATGATTTTAAACTTATGGGATAAATTCAGCTTCTACGTAATCTATGAGATCTCTTTGTATTGTTCTTTATCTTTTTTTATTCAATTTTAGAAAACTGCTTGAAAAGGAGGAGAATATTCTTGCTCTTTATCCCCCTGATTCTCAAAAGAACATAGTCAAGCTCATTTTGTAAATCTTATATTTACCTAATTCATTAACAGAACTCGAGTTTATATTGGGTCTGAACTCTTATCTAGAATAAAAATCCAGAAGTGGAACTAAAAGTTCAATAAGTAAGAAATTTAAATTTTATTTTGAAATTTTAGGGATTTACTAAGTGCTATTGAGCAGCATTGCAAGGATCCAAACCACATAATCTATTGCCAGAAACCAATGCTAGCAATATGCTTGTTGATTGAGTTCATTGAAAAGCTTATGCAAAATACGAAATAATAAAGAAATAAGTGCATTGCAATCAGTTAATAACTCCTAAATATTGGCGGGAAATTTGTCAAAGAATTAAAAGATGCAGAAATGGTCAAATTTTTTTCAAGCCAAAAGGATTCCAGAGGAAGATCAGCTTTAGTAATTATGTCTATAAAGCATTTCTACACTATGCTTGAGAGTCCATAAATGGCTTTAATTATAAAAGAGTAATGGCATGGTCCTAGCTCACAGTGTTTTGGGACTTATGAAATGTGCTCGACCTATAAAATATCGATGTCTTTATATGGTTATGATGAAGCAAGAAGGAGATTCAACTCTGTATTATTTGATAAGAAATCATATTAATTCCAATATTATATTTGGCCTGACTCATGCTCAGCAAGGTATAATATCTACGCCTTCTTCATATTAATTTTGGCCTTTCTTTATGTAATAGTAATAAACTTAGGAATAGATATGGATATTTTTGAGAATTTATAGAAAGATATCACTCTTGATATACTTTACAAAATTATTATGGTTTGGATTTGCACTATATTTATAGGAGATTTGATGGAGATAATTTTCAATATGCTGACTTAGAGAAAAACTCAACTAGATTTGAATAAGATACTAGATATTTTGCTTTTGGTTGGAATTATAATTTAATATATTGATGTCCCTCTCATTGTTAGAGATGTCGTTTTTAACAGAAATAATGAATTTACGTCATTAAACTAGTCAAAAAATATAAAAGCAATACTTGAATTATTAGAAGAAGAAAAATTTATTAAGTTTTCTTAAGAGTTCAATATTTTCCTCAACTCAATTATGTGCTTAATAGTTTGGCTAAAAATTACTAATTTCGTTCTTGCTATTTAACAGTTTGGAATTTATGTCAGAATGTTTAGACATATGCTAGTGGTGCTTATCAACTTTATGATTCTATTTTTCTTATGGGTAGCTTGTGCCTCATTGATATTCACAGTAATGTTTTACAATGATAGCTTAGAATTTTAATCATACTTTCAGTCATTCTTAAATCTATACAATGGAGGGTTAACAAACTTTGATAATAAGGTATTGTTTGATAATTAAAGTAGGAATAAGTGGTGGGGATCTCTTTTTTACATTGCTTATATTTCAATTACAGCTGTTTTCTTGCTAAATATGATAGTAGCTATTTTGACAAATGTTTATACAAGAGTTTTTTAAAAAATAGACGCAGATCATAATGCATATCTGGTAGTTGCTCATTAAAAACTAAAATTTGATTAGAGATACGGATTACTAATATTTTCATAGCCCCCTTTCAATATTCTGAGCTTTATCTTCATGCCTATTCTCATCATTATGCATTTCAATTCTAAATTTAAGGAAATAAAAAAGGTAAATCAGACTTTATGTAAGATTTTACACTTCCCAAATGCTATTCTTCTTTTTATTGAGCTATTAGTTGTTGAGATAGTATTTTTCCCAATAGCTTTAATAAAAGGACTTATTTTGTATACTTAAAGAGGAAGTAATCTATACCATAGTACTAGATTATTCTTTACTTGGCTATTCTTCGGAGCATTCATATTGCTAAAACTAGTTCTTTTTGATATCTTTAAATTTTGGGTAATTCTATATAAAAAGCCAGAGTCGATGAAGAAGCGAACAAACAGAATGTTCACCAAATAAGAGTTGAAAGAGCAGCAACGAGAAGAAGACTTTAAAGAAAATAAGAATATGGATAATAAATAAAGATTCAACTTGTTTATCGAAAGAGAGGAATTAAGAATATTTTCAAAAACTTTGAAGTATTATAATGACTACTTCATTAATAAAGATAAAACTGAATAAGTAGTTAGTTCTACCACAGAGAAATTGGTTAACATAAAGGAAAAGTTTATGAAGCAATGGGAATAGATTAGAAAGATAGATAAGTAAAACTTAGAGTATAAGAAATTACAGGAGACCATGGAAAAGAATAAATAAGAGTTTTAACGTTAAGTGGTGGGTCATCACTAATCTAAAACCTCACAATATTATTTCAGCAATGAAGCTTCTCATGAATAGGCATTATTAATCGATAAATAGATTGATAAGGAACCGAGAAAACCAGCTATAAAGGTACAAGCAGTTGTGGGTAAATTAACTTATTTTAAGGACCCTGCCAATTAACCAGAAATGTCTAAAAAAATAGTAAGAATCACCGAAAATTTCATGAATGTAATGAGTATAAATAAGCAAACTATGGAGGAATTTATCTTGTGGCTAAGCAATATAGAAAACTTTTTGGATATTGATAAAATGAGAAAAGTAATATATGATGAACAGATAATTGAAGACATGAATGATTAGGATTTTGAAGAATATAGACAGAGATTGTTCAACACAAAGACCACATTCTTTGATAAAGCAATTGAGAAGAGTTCTAAGAAAATCACAAATGATTTTGCTGAAATTCAATATGCCAATGATATTGCCTCAAATCTTGAAGATATCAATACTTAATTCAAGTACCTTAAGAAAAAAATGACAAGAATTTTTATCTTCATGCAATTAGTTAAGCCGGATGGCTTGCAATTTAAGGAGGACTTATTTGGTTCTCATGATGAGAAAAGCCATGTGAGGGCTGCTAGTGAAATAATTTCTAAACATGCTTCAGAACTTAGAAGGTAAAAGAGAAAGAAAAGGGAAGCCAAAGACAAAGAGGATTAAAATAACAAATTTTTTGAATATGAAAAGCAGAAATTGCAGCTTACTAATCCATACTCTATAAGGTTGTGAGATATATTAATCATCTCAAGCTATCAACATTTAGAATGATATTTAAATTCTAATAAATCTTGATTTCATAAAAATACTTGATGCAATACGATTTTGATTAAAGGGGTTTTGGGGTTTTGGGGGG